TCTCGAATTCTAGCATAAAATCCGAACTCGGAGTTTCCTCCTTTTTCGGTGGTTTAGGATCTAGGATAACTGAAGTTGGTGATGGGTCAGGTAAAGGTTTGGGTTCAGCTATTGAAGGTTTTTCCTCTAATGGCTCCTCTTCTACTTCCTCAAGGGTGTTATCTAAAATTTTGGTAAGAATGCTTCTCCCCGCAGTTGCGGAGACATGCCAAAACGAGCTTCCCGAGGTTGTTTTTAGAAGAGTTGAGGATTTTCTATCAAGGCCCATATAAAAATGTTGAAGAAGAATGGGGTCTTGAATGGCAAGGTCTGGGCTAGTATTGATAAGATTATTAAAACGTTCCCAAGCCTTGCCTAGAGATTCTTTCTTATTTTGTTTAAAAGTTAGAACCTCTGCACGAAGTTTGACTACCCGGAAGATGGGAAAGAATTGTAAGCAAAAGGCAGAACATTAAGCTCCCCAATCTCCTTGTCTACTCCCTATGGTGAGGCTATACCAACGTTTAGCTTTTCCTGTCAAAGAAAACACTACAAGGTTCTATCTGTAATGCCACGCCACATGATTGCAACACCACTAATTTGGTTGCCATAGGTGGATCGTATTGCAACCTTTCCATAAAATGGTTGCAATATGTGCCTATAATGCAATGGACTAAATTTGTTACAATATGTGTGGTTTATCGTTGCAACAGGCTTGTGCTACTGCAACCATTTAAGAATTGTGTTGCAATTAGTTGGCATTATTGCCATGGCACTTTTGAGTTGCAATAGTATTGGTTTTCGTTGCAATTACTCGGTGTTATTACAACTATATTGGATTTGGTTGCTTTTGCTTGTAACTATTGTCACGGTTATTATGGGTTGCAATAATGTTCCATGGTGTTCCAATTGCTAGGGTGGTTATTGCAACAAGATTTCCAAATGTATGCAATAGCATGTTCCTATTGCCATGGTTTTCTGGGGTTGTAATAATCTTTTGTGGCGTTGCAATTGTTAAGTACTTATTGCAACTATAATCCTAAATGGTCACAATATCATGTTAATATTACCACGGTTTTTTGTGTTGCTATAGGCTACCGCTGATACAATGGCGTAAAAGTGTTGTAATATACAAAATTAGTTGTAATATACAAAATGCTCCACGCATTAGACTACCCCTGATACAACGGCCTAAAAGTGTTACAATATACCAAAAATGGTTGCAATAGATAAAATACTCCACACATTTCTGAATAATATACAAAAAGAGTAGGGGTGAGGAGGATTCGAACCTGTGACCTGCCGCTAGAGATGAGCATGCCTTACCACCACATCATGGTTCTGTTCGTGATTTTTTCTAGCATGTTTCCTTATACATGTTTGGTCCAATCATTTGAAATTCAAAACCAAAAAAAATATGGGCTAGGTTGCACGCTTGCGCCTGGTCCGAGCAGGTTTGCTGGCGCCGGCTGCAAGCTGGAGCCCATCTGCCAAGGGAATTGATGTGAAAAGGGCAAAAAAAGATGCTGGCCAAGGAAATTGAACCCAAGACCTCGGACTGAAGCCAAGCGCACCGTACCACCACACCACTTCATTGTTTGTGACTTACTTCGGCATACATTGTTCTTAACATGTTAGTGAGAGAATAGAGAAATTAAATTGGAAAAAAAAATTGTGCCTTAGTTGAGACTCAAACTCAAGACCTCAACAAGGAACCAAGGAAGTCTAACCACCAGGCTACAGCAAGTATTTGTGCCAAGTTGGAGGAATTTTCTTCCAAGTACTAATACCGTCCAGTTAGATGAACTGATTTAGAATGAAGAACACATGAATAGTTGGTATTTCTGTTCTTAATAGTTAGTATTTTTGAAACTTTTTTAACGAGCAATAGCCTACGTATATGTTGTTGTGTAGGACTTTCAAAAAAAATTGGAACTCATTTGATATTTTCTATCATTTAAATAAATTTCTGCGTGCTTACCGAAAGTAATTCCAAATTAAACTATGCGTATCTCCATTAGGAGTCAAAAAAATTTACAAAGAACATATTTATAGTCATACATTTCATTCTATCCCATATCCCAGAGTTGTTAGGGAAAAACATTTGTTTGCTAGGGATAATTCATTCTTCTATTCCTAAATTAAGATCAAATAATTGTAATAATTCTAAATTTTGTCAGAAAATTCTACAATTTTGCACGGTAACATGATTTTGCTATCTAATCATCATATAAAAAACTCAAATGATTTTAACAAGGTGGCAATAGATATTGTTCACAAATTGATACATCTCTCACATAGTTATAAGTGATTAATATGAAAGATGTACCTAATTGTGAACAATGTATACTACCATTTTGTCGTATGGAGAAATTACCAATACAAGAGTTGTAGATCACGTTGGGTTCTACAACTTTGTTGTTGACGACTTTTTCATTTGAAATCATTTATTGTCCCAAAAATATGTTTGAAGCTCTTATATTTTGAAATTTAAATTTTGAATTATTCAAACAAAGTCGGATAAAGAAATGACCAAAATAAAAGTTGTAGATCTTGATGATTTCTACAACTTTGTTGTGGATAACGTTTTCATTTGAAATCATTTACTATCCTAAAATTCTATTTGAATTCTTATATTTTAAAATTCAAATTTTGAATTGTTGAAATAAAGTCGGATGGAGAAAGGACCAAAACTGAAATTGTAGATCTCGATTGGTTCTACAACTTTGTTTTTGATGACTTTTCCATTAGAAATCATCTACTATTTCAAAAATGTAGAAGTTCATAAAAATTATAGAAGGAAAAAAAAGATAAAAAACGAACACGTGATGACATGCGTGGCAAGCGGTTGTCTCTTCGTCGCTTACCATGGGGCCCACCGTACCGAGGTGGAGGCCTAGGACTGGTCGGACCATGTCACCAGCCCCGCGGCCTACGCCGCTCACCGCACCATTTCATTCATGCCTGCGCCGCTCACCGCACCATTTCATTCACACCTGCGCGGGAGCAAATACTGGCAGTGGGACTCGCTCTCAGAAAATATATAAAAAAAAGGGAGACACAAGTAGGGCTGCATAACAAGCCGGCTCGGCTCATTCTAGCTCATTAAGATAACGAGCTAGCTCGGCTCGGCTCGTTATCCTAACAAGCTAGAAAGCCAGCTTGACTCGACTCGTTAAAAGCTCGAGCTGGCTCGTTAAACTCGCGAGCCAGATATAAAAAATACACAAAATATAATATTTACATTTATCTAAAATTTGAGAATAATAATAATACAAAAGAAATGCATCTAACAACCTTAAATCAAATAAAAAAATTAATATGCGCTAATATATATACAAGTATAATAAAATACTATAGTATTCATGCATCTAGCAATCTTAAATAATACTTTTTTTTTTTTGAAAGCTTGGCTCGTTTAGCTCACAAATGGCTCATAAGCTAGCTCGAGTTGGCTCGTTATAGCTAACGAGCTAAAATCTTAGATCGGCTCGACTCGTTATCGTAACGAGCCAAGCCGAGTCGAGCCAGCCACGAGCTTCGAGTTTTTGGTCTAGCCTTAGACACAAGCAATGTTCGAACTCAGGACCACAAGGGTGGGGAACTTGTGACTCTACCAGTGAGGTACAATTTATTTTGTGGTAGCTGGGGCACTTTATTATATATGAATGAAATGAAGACGCACCTGCACCCTTCCACCATCCGCTTGTGAAGTTCATCGTAAGAACAGTAGTTTTTCACTTTTTAATGCGTGAATAAAATTTTAAACTAGTTTATATCACTCATATGAACTTCAAATTGGATTATTCTTTTTGCACTGTTCATATAAAATTATTTTCTACTATTTGGAGCACTTATATTTGGACCCATAGATTACATCAGCGTGTAGACAAAATCGGGCGCTATAACTTTGGTATTACCATAGAACACACTTTGTGAAGCAAACTTAAAATTGTATTTTATACTTCTAAACATTTTTACCACATATAAAAATTTGGTACCATTTTGGATTGTCTTGGGTAGCCACAGTTCAACTTTTAATTAATTCGTACCATCACGTAGAAATTCATTTAAACTGTAGAAAATAGCAAACCATCTTTGAAAAATCTGAAACTTAGTATTTCCTTAACTTGTGGTGCGTACAAGTTTGAGAAAAAGTTTGAGTCAGATACGACACCGAAATGCACGAGAGATGTGGAAACATAGAAGTTGTAGTCAGGGTTCCATATATGTAGTTTATTGTATATCAAAAATATATCAACAACACCCTCTCTTTCCTAGCATCCCGTCTTCTTTCGTGATAGTAGAGATCCTTGCATCTCCCTTCGCATCCCGTCTTCTTTCGAGATGAAGGTAAGACATAGAGATAAAGCACTTTTAACAACCCCTTCACTTAGAAATAGTTACTTTACTATGCTGCCGCAGGAGTATTCAAAAGAATTTCAAAGGTTAGGAGGCCCATGGCCCCTACTAGCCCCTCCTAGGTCCACCACTGAATATGAGATCCTCATACTGATCTAAATAAACAAATTGGACAAAAGTACCAGCTACTATATTTTTTCATCTTCAACAAAGTTTAGTTAATTTTACTAATTTTTAAGGTGTAAATACATGATTTTTAGTTATAGGGTCCAAAATTTGAAGTGAGGCCCATACACATATCTAGTCACACCAAATTTTGCAAGTAGTCACTTGTTATAATGAGTCAACTTCAACTAATTCTTTTCAATTTCATCAAATTTTTAAGGTGTGGACGCCGAGTTTTTAGTTTTATGCACATCATGTGGTCTGATTTTGATAGAATCTTGGTACAATTTAGACAAAATTTTGATAGAATTTTGCTTAAATTGGCTAAAGTCCCGCGCTCCTCGTCAAAAGAATTTTGCTTGAATTGGCTAAAGTCCCGCACTCCTCGTCAAAAGAATACTCCCCACCTCAAACCCCAATCGGCCCAACAGGCAACAGGCAACAGGCCCAACAAACCCTAGGTCCCAAACTTGCGTTGCCCGGCGTCTCTGCTCTCAGGCTCTCAGCGGCGGCGCCCCCTGCCGCAACTCCCCATTCGCATCTCGCATTCGGCCATTCCCACCCACCCATCCCGCCACCGCCGGCCCCTGGCTGCCCCCTGCGGCCCTGCCGTCGCCATCTGAGTAGATTGAGATATACCAGCCGCCGCAGTGATATTCACCAACTCCGGCCTCCCGTCGCGATAGGTGGGGCGCAGGGCGGGCGTGGTTGCCGCGGTACCCTGCCTTGACGCCGCCTGTGGGGCCTCGGGCGATAGGGTGCCGAGCCACGCCGTCCTCAATGCCTGGCGATGCAATCGACGGTCCACGACATCGCTCAGAGGGCTGCCACGAACCTCCTCACCAGCCCCTGTCACAGCCATAACATACATGTGGTCGACGCCTTCACAGAGAGGGCTGAAACGAACCGCTTCATCTGCACATGGTATGATGCCATCTGAGTTTCTGGCCGATCAATTCAATCATGTGTGCAAGTTTCTGGCCAATCTAATTCATTGGCATGTGTTCTTCGTTTCATGTGTTCTGGCCAATCTAATTCACTATCAGATCCGAGCGCCCCCCCCACAACTCGGGTGAGGCGTCGGCGGATCTGCCATTCAATTAATATTATTTATTATTTCACCAACTGTTTGTTTCATGTTTTTGGATTGGCTAAGGTTTTAGATGACATACTATCTGTTTGTCTTGTTTCATGTCATCAGGAATTCATCTACCACTATTTCTTTCTTTAATATGTTGTGCATCCCTGTGATTTTTTTGGGTCTCTGTCACTTCTAACACGCTTTATGAAAGCGTGCCTACAATGATATAGAGACGAAATAAAGCGTTGTAATTCTGAAACTAGCGTACCTACAGGGGGGTTTTCTAGTAGTGATAGGAAACTATTAGTTGATGAGTACAATACACATAGAAATACAACAACAACAACAAAGCCTTTAAGTCCCAAACAAGTTGGGGTAGGCTAGAGTTGAAACCCAACAGAAACAATCAAGGTTCAGGCACGTGAATAGCTGTCTTCCAAGCATTCCTATCTAAGGCTAAGTCTTTGGGTATATTCCATCCTTTCAAGTCTCCTTTTATTGCCTCTACCCAAGTCAACTTCGGTCTTTCTCCCTCTCTTCACGTTACTATCCTGACTTAGGATTCCACTACGCACCGGTGCATCTGAAGGTGATAGAAATACCAAGATGAAATTTCAAGAACAACAATCAGTTGCATTAGGTGATAGATAAGCTCCTCATGAAGAAAAATTCCACATGCAAATCTAGTGTAACAAAAGGCTCTTGTTATGACACTACAAACACTGGCTATTTAGTTCCTCTGTACTCCCTCCGTTCAGAATTGTCATTTTAGCTATTTAGTAAAACACAGATCTGTTGGTGGCATACCTTCACCTATCCACTGGGATGCTATCAGCAACTATTGATGCAAGTTCTTTTATTTTCCTAGTGTTAGGCAAGTTATGTGTAGCTATGGTTCGTAAGTGTGCCTTCGCTCTAAACATGTATATGGCCGATGATAATGATGGGACTGATGCTCTTTTTGCGCTGGCCAGAGAGAAGCCCAGGGAGATGGCGGATGATGTTTTGATAGGTATTGAACCAAAGAAGGAGAAGCATTATGTCCGAAGCCTGAGTTGTCGTGGCAAGAAGCTTGACAGCGACCAGCAAGCAATGCCTCCTCTAACCAAGGGTAAGAAGTGAGGTAAATCTCAGTGTTTCGATGATTGCTTGTCACCATTTGGACATAAATTCATTTCCTTGTTGGTAGGTCATTGCATTTCTTTGGTTACTTTGCCTATCATCTTTGTAGACAGCTACTTATTCTTGATTATGGTGATACTTCGAATTTTCTGATGCAACACAAGGTTCAGCGGTTCAGCCTTCAGGTGATAATGCAATTGCTAGCCATCAGTTGTTCAATACTGATTTTTTTTCGCTGCTCTCTGAATTAACGAGCACCGTTTCGCTGTGATTCGCTCGTGATCACAGTTGCTCAAGCTTCAGTCACATTGCTGCTCCTGGACATTGTTACCTGAATGCTTCAGCGGCACTCTGGATGGCCATCGTTGGTGAGGATTAAAAGCGATGACAGAAAGTTCAGAGTTGCCTGAGCTAATATTTCTTTCTAAAGGGAGTTACCTGATAGCTTATCACAAGCATAAATCAGAAGTTCAGAGCAAGTGAAGCATGAGTGGCAGAAAAACTGCTGGCCGGCTTGCAGAAGTGACGGAGCTGGTTAACATTCCATCTCATATACGATTTTGGGGTCTCGACTCTGGGATACGGCATAGGTGGATACATTCCTGATTGACCTTTGTATTTTCTACACTTAATGTTCCTTAATTATGTCATCCTGGAATTTTGTATGTACATATAGCTTTAAGACTGAACGATACAGTATCATATACCTAATAAAATGCTAGCTGATCAAAGTTTTGTTTTTGCAGACACAACATATGCTTGATCAGCTCACTGACCTTCAGAGAAGGGTATGTTCTTAACATACAATTGACTATGATTACTAGCCATAGGAATATTCTTAGTTCATTTCTGCTCAGGAAAGCACGTGTGTACAGTACTGTTCCAACTAATGATGTCACTTAACCATTTTCCAGGAGCAAATGCTGTACGAAGCAAATAAGTGCCTTAGAAGAAAGGTATGTTCCCCTTATTACTAGCCCTTTTAATTGTTCAAAAAAAATTACTAGCCCTTTTATGTTGCATATACACGTTAATTCTTCTGATCTTATATTGCTTTTAAGTTTCAAGTCAGTAGATTTGAGCTAAAGGCACATATGAAGAACTTGATCTATATATATAGCATTCGATCTGCTCCCTCTAGCTACACCCATATATATGCTATTCAGATACAGGTGTCCTCTACGAATGAGTTTAATGTCCATCAGTAGAAATGCACAAATTGCTCCTAACTGAACCTGTTATCATGTACACTGCTAGTATTGTGTTTCTTGGTCAGGTTTTGCATGAGGAACACTGCAGTTAAACTATGATATTATTTTTAAAACAGTAACCTATCATATTATCGCTCACCCGCTGTCAACGTGATCCCTTATTTGTGAACTGAATTGCAAGGTTATTAATGTGCTCTTTGTGATTGTTTTGCGAGGAAATGATCAGCTGGAGGAGACCAGCAGCCAAGTGCACGGGCAGGTGTGGGAGCACAGTGCCAACTTGCTTGGCTACGAGCGGCAGTCCCCACAGCAGACGCCATCACATGTTGGCAACGGATTCTTCCATCCCCTGGAAGTTGGCCCTGAGCCAACCCTGCAGATTGGGTAAGCCATATGTACACCCTGCAGAAGTTCAGGTTGCTTCAATTCTTGTCATTCGCTAGACCTTTGCCTCTTAAAACTTGCTAAAGTTACCGATGAAGTAGGCTCTTTGTTGCCACTCTGTTCCTTGTTCATCTCATATTTCTGCTGTAGTCCATGCTGCATCACCTGCTGCATGGTCTTTTCCATATACCAAGCTGATCACATCCCGGTGCAAGAAAGTCTTGTGCCTGCATCCAGTAGTAAATTAGTATGGAATTAATCGACCCCTTGTATTTACACTAAGCTATTTTCCTACAAATCCTTAGCTCAATTTCAGTCTTGTTGCTAAAATAATACAATTTCAGTTTACATGATGCATATACCAATGTTAATGATTTTTTAGGAGCAACATAGAGTTTGAGTGGAGCGCACAAGTGATGGGACGGTCAATGTCAAGCCAACCTTTGCTACAGTGTTAGACATAGCTTATTACATTTTGATGTGTTCAAACTAGATAGTGTGAGTCGGATACCTTATGTGTTTCAGTTGTTGTGCGTGTGTTATCGACTAAGTTTGACATTGGATGGTTTCATTAATGATTTGTATGAACAAAGCATATTTTGGATTAATGGATGTCTAAATGCTTCTTTCATCGTATATTATTCGGCATGCAATTATTGTTTGAAGCAAACAAAGCGTTCAATATGGACTATCGACAAATTGCGTTGCAATATATGATATAGCAACAAACAAACGGTGTTGTAAAAAACATCATACCAACGGAATAGTGAGCGTTGCAATAGAGCCTCCAAATTGTAGCAACACAATAGTTAGCGTGGCAATAGAGGGTCCAACAATAGTAACCGGTATTGATTGTTGCAATAGAGAGGCAACCTCTAGCAACCAAACATTTACCGTGGCAATAGAAGGATGCACCTATAGCAACCATAATGTTTAGTGTTGCAATAGAGAGGCTACCTCTAGCAACCAAATATTTATCGTGGCAATAGACGGTTCCACCTATAGCAACCATCGAAATAGCGTGGCAATAGAGGGTCCATCTATTGCAATGCTATTGATGTGTGGCAATAAGGTCTACTGCAACACCAAATATTGTTGCTAGTGCACCTATTGCCACACTTTGGATTCGTGGCAATAGGTATTTCTGGTGTTGCAATAGGGGAAAAAATATTGCAACACCAAAAAGAGTCGTTGGGCAAACCTTTTGCCACGGTTACTATGGCAACGCCTGCCAACGAAAAAAAAGTGTTGCAATTTTGTCTATCGCAACCATTTTTGGTATATTGCAACGCTTTTAGGCCGTTGCATCAGGGGTAAAACCTTGTAGTGAAAGGGAAAAAGCTTCCAATGTACGGTTTCATCTGACATGCCCTCTATGCATAGGCATGCACAGGTTTACTCAAACTCACTAAGATGGGAATATGAGTTTTTATTATCTTCGCCCGAAAAGGATTGTGCCTGAACCATTTCAACTAGACATGGGCGTAGCTCATAGCCAGGGGTTAGGATAGGCTTTGAAGACTCTTTTGGCTATAGGCTCGTGCCCGTGGGTGCAACATATTGATAGATGGGTGTGGATTCAAGATCCATGATAAAAAGAATAAAGAATAAAAAGATAAAAGTATAATACAAGGATAAGCTAGACTCAAAGTTAACTCAGCAACCGTTTTCCCGGCAATGGCGTTAGAAATGCTTTTTGGTATAAATTAATGCATACAGAATAATCCGTAAGCGCACGGAGACTATACCGATGTAGCACTTCATCGGGAGTGCCCAGCTTTATATCGAACTCGAGGAAACGTGTGTGAGAACAACTAATGCTTAACTTATCCCAAACTCACAATCAAGGTCGGACAATAGGGATATAGAGGAGACTGCTAAGGCCTTCTAGTCCTAACTCTAGTAAGCTTGTCTTCTATTATTCTGTCTAGGGATGAAACTTATAAAAAACACAAGCATAGTATGTTTCCTATGGCTCAATAATTCTTGCTAATCCTATTAAAGGGAGGTGGACTACAGAGGATTCAACGAGGCTATAAAAGTCACCCTCGTGAGCTACCACCGATCCGAAAAATAGGGTACATCTATGAGCAACCTAGTCTAAGCACCATGCTTACACTACGTATACTACTTTAACCTAGGAGCTACAAAGATTAAAGTACTCAAGAGAGTTGCAAACTTGAAGAATAATAGGAACAAGATGCTTACTTAAATTAGAAGTCGAATACCGAAGAAATCTCAGGAGCAAACCCAAGAAGAACTTGATCCCTCCAGATACAAGATGTAGAAGAAGCACCGATAGGCCAGAACTCCACCAGAACTCTTCTCTCTCACTCTATCTCCCTCTATTTCTAGATCTAGACTAGAACTATGAAGAACTAATCTACTCTTGATTGCTATGCTTCGATCCTGGTGGAGAATAGGAATTAGGGTGTCTGACTCTACAGCTCTCAGGATCAACTGAGCAATGCCTCAGGGGGGCAGAGCCTTGGTTATATAGCCCTAGGGGAGCAACATTAGCCCTTGGATCAAACTGACTTATGAAACGCCTTATATGCATCCTCAAAGGCGGTGGGAGGAATCTTCTGGAAGTAGACAGGTGGGGCCCACCTAGCAGGACCGGGCAGCACGGGGGGTTGCCTCCTGGAGTCCTCTGGAATCTTCTAGATTTCAAGTTGCGTTGAAATTCTGATTTTTCCTTTGACGTTTAAGTACTCCTTGGTAGTTTTCTTGATATACCCTAGTGAAAACACAGATTCACCAAAACTCATGGAATTTATTAGTTTAAACCCCTAAGTCTACTTTGGTGATTCATTTATACCCTTTTTCATATTTAGTTGACGGTTACATATGTACGATAACTACCGTCAACAATCTCTCTCTAGATTTTTATTTAGAGACATGGCTATCATCTTTTTTTCTTCCTTTTTTTAATGAGCCTTCATGTGCTCATCTCTTTTTTTTAAATACCTTGGGACCTTCATGTGTCCCTTGTTTTTTTTCTTTTTTTTCTTCATGGACCTTCATGTGTCCAAATATACTTTTGCATAGTCATGTCTGTTAAACCACATATTGAGAGAGATCACTATTTTGTAAAATATGGAGTATTTTCCTAACAAGCATTTTTTTGTCTACTCCCAGTGTAGGAGCAGCGTTTTTGGTGGATGGAGGATGCATGTTGTGGGTAGCTCTCAGTGTAAGAGTTAGCATTTATTTGTGGGTGTACGTGTGTCTTGATCATGGGTGCATGACGAGAATCTCAACATGGGTCACAACAATTTAACAAAGCTCAATGCTCAAACAAGTAGCATATGACTAATGTTTGAATTTGAATCATGTTATATGGCCTTGGTAGATATTTCATAATCATTGAGGAACTTTTGATTTTAGCATTTTTGAAAGTGAAAACTCCAGATGTCAAGTTTCTCTTAGAACGAAGTCATAGCATATTTAATTTGTACCATATCATATCTTGCAAAAACTTAGAAAAGGATCATGCTTTTGCAAACCCACAAGTTTTTAAGTTTTTAGGATGAGACATTTTTGGCCAACAATAAACTTAAACATTGTGGAATACTAAGTTATAACCTAGGCACAGATAAATTATAAACAGAGCAACTATTCATCATTTCAACATAGGAGAAACTAAACATCCCTTGAACACATAAGAGAGTGGAATTAATATTTTTTGTATTTTGTCCTATTTTATTTTTTTGGTATTCTCACATTTTTAGATTTTTTCTAGATGCTTAAATAAATGAATGTGGAAAATAAAATTCAAAAATTAAAATGCAGAAAAGTAAGATACAAGGTACCTCTGCAGGGTCCTCCCCAAAGCTAGCTCTTGGCCTTAGGTCCGGAGTTTTCTTGGTGTAGACTCAAACGTAGGTACATTATTTGGTTTATTACATGTATCATTTTTTTTATTTATCCATGTTTTATACTTAGTATATTTGGTGCAGTGATCAAAACTAGACATCATGTTTAATTTGATCAAGGTAACCTAGATAATCTAAGCACCATGCTTAAATTAAAAGCTTATCAGAGCATGATCGTGCAAGAACCATACTCGAACCCAAACATACTGTAAGGAAAATAGACCCTAGGCCCATTTACTTTGGATTTTGGTGTTTGATGACCAACACAACCAAATTGGACTAATGAATTTGCAAGTGATTGTTTCGTAGTTCAATAGGGTGCAAGACGTGACTTGGACAAAGGCGACGTGATGATCCGATGATCAACACCATAAGCAAGACCTTAGAAGCACAAGAGAAGGTCCAAGATATCAAGCAAAGTCCAAGCACGAAGATAGGAACCAAGCCGGACACAAGATCGCAAAGAAACGAGCTCGCAGAGGTGACCGGACGCTGGCAAAAAGCGATCGGATGCTTCAATCAAGAGGCTCAACAACAGTGGCATCAGCAACAGTGACTGGATGCTAGACCGGATGCTGGTGGCATATTGATCGAACACAGGACTGCAGTGTCCGATCGAGTACAGAGAGGTTCCAGAGCGGTCAAATTGCAACCGAGCACATCCGGTGGCAGCGTCCGATCAGTTAATCGTGGCTCTAATGGTTGGGACGACCAGACGCGTCTAGTTAGGATGTGATCAGCGTTCGGTCAGTAGCAGAAAAGCGGGATTTCATCCCCAATGGCTACTTTCTCAGTGGGGCTTATAAATAGACCCCCCAACTAGCCATTTGAGTGTAGTAGAGCTAAGGAAACATATCAAGGGTGTTGATACACCATTTTAGTGATCTCCACTTATATAGTGCTTAGTGATTCATTAGGTGATTAGCATAGGTGCTTTACGAAGTGCTTAGGTTGATTAGACCACCGCTTATGCGCTTGCTCTAGGTTTAGGCCTAGTGTTTAGTGAGGTTTGTATACCTCTTATCACTCGGTGCTTGAGCGCACCGTTGTTGTATATCGGAGGGGCGTGTAGTCTTGCGAGATCACACCAACCGTGTTTGTGGTGTGGCCGCCACCATGTACCGGA